TGGTGTGAGCCAGCCTCTCATATAGTTAGCAACCCCCGTCCAACTTCTCAGCCACGCAGTACGGTACTCCCTGACCGATTGCTTGCGCCGTTTGCCTTTCTTGTTCTTGGCATAGAAAGGAAGGCCCTTAGAGAACGTTGACAGCGCATTTTCGACAGCGGCCTCCGTCAAGACTGTGCGCGATGGAGATGGCGTGACACCAGTGGACGAGATACGCATACCACAGAAGTCAATGGCTGGAGTCGGCCCCTCCTGCTTTTGGTCGTTGGTGTTGAAATTCAGCTTGTGGAGAATCTTTTTAGCAACAACCATAGCTTGACGGATGGCATCATCAGAATCTCCGCAGAACAACAAGTCGTCCTGATAGCAGATGACTGTGACCGGTATTTGCCGTTTGTCCAAGGCCGGCTGGATGAATTCCGTCACAATCTTAAGAGTCCCCAGACCAAAAAGTAGGCTGCTGAACTTCCAACCTTGCACCAACGTCGTGAACCGATAATGGTGCAAACGCCTAGTAGATGGGTCCTTTGCAGCAACTGCGAAGAGGCGAGAAAGGGCAGGGCCAACATGAATACTGTAGAATGCATGTTGAAGATCGAGCCGACCAAAAGAATAGGTACGGTCCGACGGAATGTCCTGGACTTGGAGCAAAGCCGTAGTCAAGAACTGCTTGGTGAGCTTCGGCTTCTCTATCTCATGCAAACTATCACCCGTATTTGCACAATAGACGAAGCGCTTCTCGGAGTCATAGACCAAACGAAGGCGATTGATAGGTCTACAATCCACCGTGAGTCGGTACCGTTGATGAACATCAGGTGCCTTAGGGTCTCGCATTTTTACCACTTTCGCAGTGGTAAATTTAGGGAAAAAAATTACCATTATTATTAATTATTAAAATTTTTTTTTATTTAGGGAACATTTTTACCACTTTCGCAAGACGCGAATTTGTCAACCAGGCAGACTTCGCACACAATGGGGCACTCTTCTGGTCTGACCTTCTCCACCTGTCCTTTGGCGACCATGTCCTCAAGTCGCAAGAAGATGATGTCACGATCAGCAGGGGCACGCCCACGAGGAGGTTCTCTGAAGGGCTCGATGCGCACATCTTCGAAGATGTTGAAGTGGACTAGAAGGAATAGCTTTGCAGGATCACCAGGGTCTGGTATAGTGGTGATGAGAGGCGCGACGACGGCTTGACTACGAGAACAGTGACCGTCCTTGGCGAGCTTGACACTGGAACCCATAGTCGGTGGTACCGGAGGGTCGAGACCAGCAATAGGTATACCATAATCACTCACCAAACGAATGCCGAGCATGGGGAAGAGGTTTCTACCAAGAATACAGGATGGCTGACAGCCAGGTACGAGCAGAAACTGCAGATGCAGTGGTTCGTTGGTAGGCACATGAACGAAACAACACTGCAGTGTGACAGGCACCGTACCGGAGAGGAGCTTCCCATCGCCAAATCGAATAGATATGGGGGAGGGGAGAGTCTGGAAGGCTTGCTCATTAACAAGACCATTCTCCTTGAGAAAGGCCACCACAACATTATTAATGAGGGATATATTTGATCCACTATCCACCAAAGTGGTGATCGGACAGTAACGCTTCACAGAGCCCACCCTCAACTCTATTGTAGGATCTTTTGGGAGAGAGTTCAGATAGCGCGTCGTAGCGCTGAAGCATGTAGCCTTGGTGTCCTCAAGCATGAGAGCTGTGGCAGTGTAAGTCTCAACAACTCGGAGACCTACAGCTTCCTCGGCGTCACCCTCGGTAAATGAGGTAGCCGCTCGGGTGTGCTCCTTTCCACCAACTGACTGATTCGGTCGAACAGGACGTAATCCACGGCGACAGACACCCGATAGATGACCAGTTTAGTTGCAGCGAGAGCACCGAAAACGGGAACGGTCACATTTGTGACTTTTGGTAGTCTCACCGATGATCAGTTTGCCACAACGATCACAGCGGTCATGTTGGCGGTATATAATATCACCAGTACAAGAACCAGCGCGATGTCCTGCATGCCCGCAACGGATGCATGCATCCTTGTCCAAACCCAGCTCCAGTGCAACGGTCGAGTGTACCTTGCCCTCACTGGCATTGGAGTTACCCTCGGCTCGCTTCGGCGATGACTGACGGAGATTTTGAGGCAGCTGAGATGACTTTGACGAGCCTTTGAGGAAGTTGAGATGTGCCGCACTGTTCATAGACTCAAGGAAGCTGAGCATAGACTGCTTAAACTCCTCATAGGGCATCTTCAATAAGGGATCGATAAGACTTTTAGCCAAGATAGAGTCACCGTCAGTCAAACCATCAGCAAGTCTTTCGCTCATCTGAGCATCCAACACCGAAACGCCAGACAGGGTTTCCTTGATGTGAGCAATGTCTTCCACGCGGTCAGCAAAAGCAGGAATAGATTCCCCAGGTTGTTGGCGCATGCCGAGCCATTTAACCTCGACTGCACGCATCTCTAGGCGATTCATGTGCTTGATGTCAAGTGCCTTGATAAGAGCGACATGGCCTTCAGCCTGGATCAAAGATGCAGAGACTCTTTTCCTGATGCGAGACTTTAGTGGTTCTTGAAGGCAACGCAGAACTATTTCAGCTGACACTTGGCGGCTACAATCGAAATGATCTATTGCAGAGCAAATGGTGGCTCGCCAGATTGCATATGAACCGACACCCGTGAGCTTGAACAGAAACTCGGATGGAGTAGGTTTGCCGAGTAGAGTGGCAGCCTGTTTGGTCGCATTGTCAGCGGTCAGACGGGAGGAATTACTCTTCACACGAAGAGGTTTGAGAAAGATGACGGAGTTGCTACATACCGACAGGT